TCCTAAGTCAATAAACTATGCCGAACATAAATTAAATCAAGTTCCAAATTAAGTACACCATATAAATGAGCCTAAACAGTTCATACAGTTTTGGCTCCTCAATTATGATTCTAGATCATATGAAGTCAATCCATCTTAATAAAACAGCAATTTCAAACATCATAAAAATGCAAGAGTGTAGCAAATTGAATCCCCACACAAAATTTAACCTGACTATTCCGTCCTCAAATTGTAAAAGGAATTAATTAGAAATTAGATCTAAGAAACCTTACCGTATTTAAAATTTATTTTTTTTAAAAAATTGAAAAATAAACCTCCGCCGCGGAGCGTCACGGAACAGTTTAAAATAAATCCATATTTCTACCGTCGTGAACTCAGCCGCCGTAATGTAAAAGAGTTGAAAATCAATATCGGAAGCCGCAGTTAATTCTACAGTCTTAATGCATATATCGGAATGGAAATCCGATACAATACAGAGAAAATGAAAACACAAGGAAAAGTAAGGAAAACTGATTTTTTTGTAATGCATTTTCAGAATTTACGAGAGGTCGGGGACTGTGGTGGTGGAGGATTAGGTGGTTTTGGTAAACTTAACCTCACTATGATAGCACAAATTGCACCAACATTTAGATAGGAATCTCATGATTCTCATCATCCATGATTTGGAGGGAATTTTGAATATGGCATGTTTGGAAATAATTTCAATTGAGGTTTTGTCTCTCTATATATACTTAATGAATCACGCTTTTGATATGATTAATTTTTTTAATTAATTTTATTATAATTATCAATACTTAGTCCCTGTTTGGCCAGATACATAGACGCAATTCAAAATTCGTGCAACATGACTTATTGGAGGACTCTCAGGAAAACAAGCTTATTTGATCTCTTTGCAAGACAGACTAATAGATAGGGAGTCGAAGCTTTGGTAAGTTTAAATTTTTGCTGGTGACATTTTCATGAGTGTTAGGATTAATGGTTCATAACGTACCTCTATGGAGAGGAAGTCGTTCATCAGCTTGTGCACTCTTTTTTCTCCTTTTTGTGTCAAATAATGCAATATCATATACAGGGATGAGTAGTTGAAATCATACCCCTATCATATGATCAAATTTAGTTTCCCCTATTAATCAAAATTACACATTGCTTACAATTCACGTGGTATCAACACGAATTCAACTAATCACTTCTATTAATTCAACCAGCCCAAACTGCTCACAAATATTGA